ATAGGACGCTAAGGGACATACCATCGCTAAACCCAATCCTTTCTTCCCCTCCCTATCCCAACCCTTCCTTATCCCAATCCCTCCTTCCCCTCCCTATCCCAAACCCTCCTTATCCCAATCACTCCTTCCTCTTTCTATCCCAATCCCTCCTTATCCCAATCCCTCCTTCCCCTTTCTATCCCAATCCCTCCCTATCCCAAACCCTCCTTATCCCAATCACTCTTTCCCCTCCCTATCCCAATCCCTCCTTCCTCTTTCTATCCCAATCCCTCCTTATCCCAATCCCTCCTTCCTCTTTCTATCCCAATCCCTCCTTATCCCAATCCCTCCTTCCTCTTTCTATCCCAATCCCTCCTTATCCCAATCCCTCCTTCCTCTTTCTATCCCAATCCCTCCTTATCCCAATCCCTCCTTCCTCTTTCTATCCCAATCCCTCCTTATCCCAATCCCTCCTTCCTCTTTCTATCCCAATCCCTCCTTATCCCAATCCCTCCTTCCTCTTTCTATCCCAATCCCTCCTTATCCCAATCCCTCCTTCCTCTTTCTATCCCAATCCCTCCTTATCCCAATCCCTCCTTCCTCTTTCTATCCCAATCCCTCCTTATCCCAATCCCTCCTTCCTCTTTCTATCCCAATCCCTCCTTATCCCAATCCCTCCTTCCTCTTTCTATCCCAATCCCTCCTTATCCCAATCCCTCCTTCCTCTTTCTATCCCAATCCCTCCTTATCCCAATCCCTCCTTCCTCTTTCTATCCCAATCCCTCCTTATCCCAATCCCTCCTTCCTCTTTCTATCCCAATCCCTCCTTATCCCAATCCCTCCTTCCTCTTTCTATCCCAATCCCTCCTTATCCCAATCCCTCCTTCCTCTTTCTATCCCAATCCCTCCTTATCCCAATCCCTCCTTCCTCTTTCTATCCCAATCCCTCCTTATCCCAATCCCTCCTTCCTCTTTCTATCCCAATCCCTCCTTATCCCAATCCCTCCTTCCTCTTTCTATCCCAATCCCTCCTTATCCCAATCCCTCCTTCCTCTTTCTATCCCAATCCCTCCTTATCCCAATCCCTCCTTCCTCTTTCTATCCCAATCCCTCCTTATCCCAATCCCTCCTTCCTCTTTCTATCCCAATCCCTCCTTATCCCAATCCCTCCTTCCTCTTTCTATCCCAATCCCTCCTTATCCCAATCCCTCCTTCCTCTTTCTATCCCAATCCCTCCTTATCCCAATCCCTCCTTCCTCTTTCTATCCCAATCCCTCCTTATCCCAATCCCTCCTTCCTCTTTCTATCCCAATCCCTCCTTATCCCAATCCCTCCTTCCTCTTTCTATCCCAATCCCTCCTTATCCCAATCCCTCCTTCCTCTTTCTATCCCAATCCCTCCTTATCCCAATCCCTCCTTCCTCTTTCTATCCCAATCCCTCCTTATCCCAATCCCTCCTTCCTCTTTCTATCCCAATCCCTCCTTATCCCAATCCCTCCTTCCTCTTTCTATCCCAATCCCTCCTTATCCCAATCCCTCCTTCCTCTTTCTATCCCAATCCCTCCTTATCCCAATCCCTCCTTCCTCTTTCTATCCCAATCCCTCCTTATCCCAATCCCTCCTTCCTCTTTCTATCCCAATCCCTCCTTATCCCAATCCCTCCTTCCTCTTTCTATCCCAATCCCTCCTTATCCCAATCCCTCCTTCCTCTTTCTATCCCAATCCCTCCTTATCCCAATCCCTCCTTCCTCTTTCTATCCCAATCCCTCCTTATCCCAATCCCTCCTTCCTCTTTCTATCCCAATCCCTCCTTATCCCAATCCCTCCTTCCTCTTTCTATCCCAATCCCTCCTTATCCCAATCCCTCCTTCCTCTTTCTATCCCAATCCCTCCTTATCCCAATCCCTCCTTCCTCTTTCTATCCCAATCCCTCCTTATCCCAATCCCTCCTTCCTCTTTCTATCCCAATCCCTCCTTATCCCAATCCCTCCTTCCTCTTTCTATCCCAATCCCTCCTTATCCCAATCCCTCCTTCCTCTTTCTATCCCAATCCCTCCTTATCCCAATCCCTCCTTCCTCTTTCTATCCCAATCCCTCCTTATCCCAATCCCTCCTTCCTCTTTCTATCCCAATCCCTCCTTATCCCAATCCCTCCTTCCTCTTTCTATCCCAATCCCTCCTTATCCCAATCCCTCCTTCCTCTTTCTATCCCAATCCCTCCTTATCCCAATCCCTCCTTCCTCTTTCTATCCCAATCCCTCCTTATCCCAATCCCTCCTTCCTCTTTCTATCCCAATCCCTCCTTATCCCAATCCCTCCTTCCTCTTTCTATCCCAATCCCTCCTTATCCCAATCCCTCCTTCCTCTTTCTATCCCAATCCCTCCTTATCCCAATCCCTCCTTCCTCTTTCTATCCCAATCCCTCCTTATCCCAATCCCTCCTTCCTCTTTCTATCCCAATCCCTCCTTATCCCAATCCCTCCTTCCTCTTTCTATCCCAATCCCTCCTTATCCCAATCCCTCCTTCCTCTTTCTATCCCAATCCCTCCTTATCCCAATCCCTCCTTCCTCTTTCTATCCCAATCCCTCCTTATCCCAATCCCTCCTTCCTCTTTCTATCCCAATCCCTCCTTATCCCAATCCCTCCTTCCTCTTTCTATCCCAATCCCTCCTTATCCCAATCCCTCCTTCCCCTCCCTATCCCAAACCCTCCTTATCCCAATCACTCCTTCCCCTCCCTATCCCAATCCCTCCTTCCTCTTTCTATCCCAATCCCTCCTTATCCCAATCCCTCCTTCCCCTTTCTATCCCAATCCCTCCCTATCCCAAACCCTCCTTATCCCAATCACTCTTTCCCCTCCCTATCCCAATCACTCTTTCCCCTCCCTATCCCAATCCCTCCCTCCTTCCCCTTTCTAACCCAATCCCTCCTTCCCCCTCCTATGCCAACCGCTCCTTATCCCAATCCCTCCTTCCCCTCGTTAACCCAACCCCTCCTTATGCCAATCCCTCCTTCCCTTCCCTAACCCAACCCCTCTTTCCCCTCCTTATCCCAATCCCTCCTTCCCCTCCTTATCCCCATCCCTGTTTCCCCTCCCTAACCCAAGGAGGTGAGAAGGGTGGAGTCACGTGATCTGGGCTGTCAAGCGGTGGGATTTTAGAGGGCGCAAGGCAATTGAGAAAAAAATAAGGGGTGCTAGGTGCTATGGGGTTTTCAGACAGGCTGGAGAGAGCGCTGCCGGCTTGGAGGATCAGGTGAGTATAACTTTTTTTTAACCCCAGGCAAAAACAAGTAGGCTACCCCCTCACTGCCGGGGGTTAATAAAATGTATGCCCGGAGTTCTTCTTTCATGCCTGCAGTACGTATACATGCATCACCCGGCCTGCAATGTGTTGCAGGCAAAAAATAAATAAATGCATGTTTTTTTATTTTACAAATGTGTATGCTTTTGTTATTTTTTTTTCCCAGTAGGTGGACCATGCCTTTATTTATGCACAGTCCACTGGTCCAGATATGGCGACTTCTCGCAGCGATAACGTTTTCCTGGCGGATTAAAAAATGCAGCAAGTTACCCGGCAGTCATAACAGCGAATTATCAGCAGCTCCATCATTTGTCTATAAAAATATACCCGATATTACAGAGGTGGGGGCAACTCCTATGCTCCTCGGCGCCATCTAGTGGCAGGAATGGGTTGTGAACAGCATTCGTCCTGCTTAGGCTGGCCATGAGATTTATAAATGGACCCCACAGCAAGGGTGGGCAAACTCGGACCCTCCAGCTGTAGGCATTGCAAGATTGACAGTTACAAGCATGACTCCCAGAGGCATATTGGTATTAGTTAACGCAAAGCAGGAGGGCCGAAGTTGCTCACCCGTGCCCTAACATCATAGCTGAATTTAATTTCACTGAATTCCGAGAACATATGAAGCACCATATAGGAAAAAAGATGGAAGTGTGCCCTTTCTTATTTCACCAACCAACATAGGCACGTGGCATCTGATCTGCAGGTGCTCATGGGATTCTAATAAAAAGGAGTATTACGAGTAGGTTCATATATCAAAAAAATGATATAGATGTCATTTGCTTTATATTTGTATTCTTCAAAACTCATTGAATTGTTTTGCAGTTTAGCTACTGCAACGTAGAGTGCTGCCACACACCTGCTGGAAGCTGGCACCTGGCTTGCAGTGGGAGTGCCTGCTGCATATGGTGTTAGGCAGGACGTGCATAAGAGAAAGAAAAGCAGTTACTGGCCTGTAAACCGTTTCTGCATTTAGCCGATTGGCTGAAGCCGCCACATACAAATGTTCTCAGTGTCTGAATTTTTAACATCTGCCTGGAGCTCTTCCTCACCCAACATTCCAGTCACGGGGTATTGCTGAATCATTACATACAGGCATAAAGTGCAAACATATAACCATTGTCATACATGCTCAGGTGCAAATCAAAGATTAGCTGGGTCTCCATGTTGCCCACGTATATAAATTTGAAGGTTCAACAGATTTTTGGGGGGTATCGTATTGAGGCGAGTTGTCCTGCAAGCTGTAACGAATTGTGTTCCCTGTCCACTTATCATGGGCCAAATAATTATTGATATATTGAATCAACACAACCATTCAAAATCAAACTTGCACTAGTAAAGCTTGGATACTGCTGGCCAATACAGGCAGTTCTTTTTAGACATACGAGGCCCTTTGTATCTATTTACAAGCCCCACCCATTTCTTTTTTTAGTAATTTGAAGCCCGACTACAGTTAAACAGTTTTAATTCTAGCAAGCTGATCTTTTTGATTGAGAGCTACCTTGCCTACAAGATACATCCCTTGCTTACAGGTATTTTACCCCTTTCTTAAAGGGGCTTACAAGAGGCGTTGCCTCTTGCCCACATAGGTCGCCTTTTTGCCACCAAGAGCAATCACTCTTGCCTACTAGAGATATCTCCTTGCCAATAGGAGGCATGCCGTAGCTTACACAAAGAGCCACTTGATCTAATAGAGATTCTACGATAAGACCATTTATTTCGATACATCAACATTTGTCACTATATACTTTTTTAGGTTGAGAAAAACAATCCGCACCCAAAAAACTGCTGATTAAGATATTTTTTTTAAAAACTACCACATAGTTTAAGGTGAAGGACAGCGCCGTGCTTCCCACCTAGACAAAGATGCACCAAAGCATATATGTATAATGGTGTGCAAGTGCGTGGACCTTACAGGGTGGAGGTCCGTGGGGGTGATCTTGAAGATCACACACAGGGCCAGTGACAGAAAGCAGTTCGTTCTTTGGCCACCTTCTGGTTGGTGCATCCGTGAAGCAGCACCCTCTCTGCATCCTCCGCCATGCCCCAGGCGGCTTGCACCAGAAGTCGGTAGGTGCGTTCGTGAGATAATTTGGTGGGGGCCTCCTCTCCTCCTCCCCAGTGTGGGATGTAGCTCCAGACCAGCTCAGACAAAGATAGGGGCTGAGATGCCATCTGCAGTAGTTGTTCTGCACTTGGGTCTTGTGCCAGGGGGCATTGTACCTCGGTGCGCAAATCCTCGGAGCTGCAGCCAGTCACTTGTGATATTAGTGTTAGTGAGTCATCATCCAGTCCGTAACGGGCACGGAACGATGTAAGAGCGGATAAAAGTTTGGACAGAGCTTCAGGGAGCTCCCCTTGAGATGACTTGGTGCATATGTCCAGACAGAGATCGTATATGCCCATCAGCAGCCTTCTTCGCTCTCTTCTTACCAGCTGAACAATTATGGAAGGGATGCAATGCAGAAGCCTCTCTCTGACTAGCTGAGGAGCTCCCTTCTCTAAAGCTACTCTCAAACCAGGAAAATCAGCCCCATGGCGATCTGACTTTTTCCCCCCTTCCACGTGCCCTTTGGCCTCCTGCCTATGTTTCCTCTCTTCATCTCCACCAATCAGCATACAGTGTTTGCCAGCCGCAACCAAGGCTTCAACCAGGGTGGCACGGGAGCTGTTGTCCATCCCTGACCCAACGATCAAGTAGACATCGCAAGCTTCCGTCTGCAAATTTTGCAAATACTGCTCCACGGACATGGGTGGGGTACCTGGACCTGGAAGGGATCTCACGACAAGTCCTGAAAGTGGAGGCTCGCAGAGGGCACAAAGAATGCCATCTTTATCTGTGCCAGTTACGCCAACCACTGCCGACACGGGAGGAGGGTTGTCTATAAAGATGCTAAGAAGGGAGCAGAATTCTGAAAGTCCCTCTTGATCACACTGTACCTCAAAGACTGACGCTAGTTCTTGAGTTTGAGGATCCGCCGTGTGACTGACTGGCCTGTAAACAAAAAGTAGATGTCTGTGTTAGGAATACAACTTTCCAATGCAAAGAAAGCCAAAAATAAAATCTATAATCGCTGTGACATGGACTATTCATTAGAAGATCACTACACGTTGTCTCAAATATGGATGTTGGTTTTCCCATACTGCGAAGAAGCTGAAATTGAGATTTAGTTAACTTTGTTGTGAAGTCTTATTAACATATTGCAGCTGTTGTAGACTAGTTGGAGTGTAAGGACCCAAGCATACCTAATATGCAGGCCACATTTTGATTTTAATATTTTCCCTGGTCTCGTTAGGCGTGGTCAGACAGTGGCACCCCAAAGTCAAACTTCAGCTAATGGCCAGAAACTGTTGGCGCTATATAAATCCTGTATAATAATAATAATAGTGGCAGTTATCTGGTTAATCCCAGGTGTCTGGCATTGCCTGTACCACCCTGGACGGAGTGTGACTCTGTCATATTGTGGGACAGTCAATGAGAGATGCTATAGTGTATGTACAGTACAGCAGCCAATCACTGGGTTTCTCTCGACCAGTGCTGCATGCTGGGATAGGGTACATATACTTGGGGGATTTACCATGTGCTCAGACTAGCCGGGACAAGCCATGGATTAGGGCTGGGTGCTGTTCAGCCTGCCCCCCCCCCCCCCCCCCCCCCCC